TTATTTTAGAAAATTAAGTTAAATTCCACGCTGACGTAGTCGCGGGATCATAAAAAAAAATCACGAACTCCAATTGTTATATATTTTTTATTCCAAGGCCAATAAGCTTCACACAACATCAAATTACTTTACATTTTACATTAAACAGTTCTATTCACATCCCGGATCAACCAACATCCCGGGAATATAAATGCGAGCGTATAATTGAACTCGACAAGCACCGGCTAAATGTAATTAAGTTGGATTCTATTCTCCGCCATTAGCCTCACATTTGGGCCGTTGTGCGTGTAGAAACAGGCTACTAAAGTAACCAGTCAAGCTGATCCCAAAAGCGCAGAAGTCTCCTAGTGTCTTCACAGGCTTAACGGAGCAACCTCACCGTTCCGAGGATTTGTTTTCGTTATGTGGCCACTGCTACGCACTCCAGGGTTACGTGAGCAGCCGTTTCATTGGCTTCAAAGCAGCTCCGACAGTGGGGACTGTCAGTAGCACCTATTGTGTACAGATGTTTGTTTAAGGGACAGTGGCCCGTTAGTATCCCTATCATTATTTTGAGGTTATGCCTATCTAGATTTAGTAGGCGTTTTATCAGTTGATGGTTTGTTTTAGGAACTGCCATTTTTAATTGTTTGCAATCAGTGGTTTGTTTCCATCTTTGGTTTTGTATCTCGGCGGATCTTTGGTGAATCTAGGTTCAAAATTGCGAGAAGGGTAATGGTAAAAGGGAGCGGCTGCTACCACCATGTCAGATCCTCTTCTCGCCAGCTCGTCCGCGGCATCATTACCTTGTGATCCACTGTGCCCTTTTATCCACTGGATAATTACACCATTGTGCGTTGCTTTATCCATGACATTGTGGCACTCGATTATTAATTGGTTGTTGGGTTTCCTGTTCTGTAATGCTTTCAGCATGGCTGCATTGTCCGATATGCATTTAATGTTGAAGTTGTTAACACCTGACCTGTACACGTCTCTTGCTGCCTCAGTCAGGACAATACATTCACATTGGAAAATCGAACTTTGTGTACCGAGTGATATATTCATGTTGAGATCGAGGGAGTGTGCTCCAGATTCTGAAGCAAGCACCAGCTAATCCAGGATTCGAACCTGGGACCACATTGACATCATCTCATGTGTGTAAGGCCTATTGTTTTCGATTTAATCAATTAATTTTATCATGCTTGTAGTATGTACGGATGATACGCACGGCTTGGTCCAAATAAGCAGGCTGAAGTGCTACTCTTTTGAGATACAGTGTACCTTATTGTTATATGTCTATGTTGTGACTTTGTATAGTTACATTAATAACAGAACCAAATTAAATATTGTTACAAGAACAACTGATGAATGCATGAGTGGGCTACAACCACATAGATGTGTAGTGGCGTTTCCTCTTCAGTTTAGCAAAATCTGCAGATTTTTGTTGTGCATGACCTCCCATAGCCTTTGGGCCAAGGAGTCTGTCTTGTCCTAGCTGCAGGATGCGAGCCTTTGTTGCTGCTTTTTCGTATCGTAGGGCGGTAATGCCAAGTCCATCGAGGTTTCTTCTCTGCTGAACCGCATTACCGCCTTGTACACGCTTTTACGACAGTATCCTACTTCAAGGCAATCACTATCTCCGCAGAACGGGGCAGGCGCAACCTTGGACCTTGGGGCCTTTGGTTGATGGCTGGCAGCACCCTTACGGATCCGCCCCTACCCTCTGGGCCTAAAACCCTTCGACGCTACCGTCGTCCAGCCCTGGTTCTTGCAGCTACTCCTTCTCAATAACGGCCTTCTTCATCTTCTTTTTGCTATATATAATATACATGTATCTATATAAATAAATATACAATATGATAATCTGGCCAGTATCATAATTGCTACGATGCTCACATTATATTTACACCACTCTATATATATATAGCCACTATTACATCTATCCATCTATTTAATCTGTTCATTGAATGTATCCATACTTCCAATATTGTTACATTAGAGCTATGGTACCATTGGAAGGGGATTGTAGACTAATAACCCCATGAACTGACACTGTAACATGTTACGGGGACCTCCGCATAGTTCCTTTGGAAACCATCATGGTAAATTCCTGGCCAATTCGCAACGATGGGCTAACTGTCCTGACTTCATGCTCATCTTATTATCCTTCACTGATGCCCCGCCAGCGTATACCGTTAGCGCAGGTGGATGCTCCATTCGCGGTGCAAGGAAATAACCCAAAATCGGAAGTAAGGCGATGTGCTAAATCGTTAATCCATCGAGGTCATCAATAGTAGCACAGATAAGATAATTGTAGTGATAGAATTCCAATATTTTATCTATGCTTTGATATCATTTCTGAAAATTTTTATTTCATACATTGTCTATGGGGCCGTTCAAGTATTACTTCAAATTCAAATTCAAATTCAAAAATCATTTATTCATGTAGGACATTTTAGCCGCTTATGAACGTCAAGTTTTACATTATAATTTTTTTTCCCTACCGTCCAGTTCGGTATATAGATCCAATTGAGAAAAACTGGCAAGAAACTCAATTGAATTACTTTTTTTTTTTAAATCCAGTTTATTTACAATGCATTTATATAGGTGTCTATGTCTAACATTAAATGAAAATCTCGAACATGAAAACTATTGCCATGCACGCTCGTCATTCAAGTAATCGTTTAGTGAGTAATAGGCCTTGCTCAGTAAATATGATTTAACAGATGTTTTGAATTTATTTAAGGGTAATTCCAATATATCCTTTGGTATCTTATTGTAAATTTTTATACCTATTCCCATAAAAGACCTATTGACTTTTTCTAAACGATACTTGGGGACAGCAAGTTTGTCTTTAAATCTAGTATTAATATTATGAATATAACTTCAGCACTATAGGGGGGCGGGGGGTCTATGCTTTGCTTATTTTGCATGACATGTGGGGTGGGGGAGTCTAGATGATGATTACGTCATCGGCAGTTTTTACACGAATGGCAACCCACACATTGTCTTTGCTAAGGAAAACAATACATTAATTGAAAAATGTTTACGCAATGGGTGGAGGGGGTAAGAGCTTTGCTTACTTTTGCTGACAAAGGGGATGGGGGTTAAATAATTATAATAAATCTGCTTACCTAATACCTGAACGTCTAGCGGTTTAGCACACCGCTTTACTTCTGATTGTGGCGTGTTCGATTCCTCGCATTGTGAAACATTTGTATTCATGAGTATGATTGTATATGACGGTCTGCGTGTTTTCTATGTACATATATTATGTATGTATTTTTTTTTAATATATGTATTTATATCAGTTGTCTAGTACTCATAACACAAGCTCTGCTTACTGTGGGACTAGATGGCGTTGTGTTAATTGTCCAGGGTTATATATATGTATATATAATGGCCTTATTTGTAATGTATTTCTTTACCTATTCAACAGTGTTTGAATTAAATTTATTCAAATAAAGGATTTTCTATTTTATTCCATTCCTTTTATTTTCTTTTGTTATCTGTACATACGCTGTCTCGTGTCTGGTGACCCCACTAATAATCAGCGTTTTGGTATAAATGTAACTCGATTGTGCTGCAGTATAAATGCCGAGTGGGAGGCATTTTTAACTTTATCAATAAGTTATAACTTGAAAGATATATATATTACAAACATTATTGTAAATTTACTGATACTGATGTAATACTGAATAAATAATAATATTTGTGTATTACATATATATATATATAATAATATTTGTATATTACAAAATTACAAACCCGATGAATTTGTGGAACTTTATTAAAAAAATAATATACAGTTATAGATAAACGAATATGTATATTAAAATAATTAACAAAATTAATTACCACTTACGAACTATCAGAAATACTTATTGAAAAAAAGTATATAATAATAATAATCACATTTATTTGTATCAAACAAAAACTAATACGATTGTTGCTCATACAATAATAAAATTTAAAAGTAATGAAGGAGACAAAACTCTCTATAACTCAGAGGGGGTAGTGAGTCCACCCTCTCCGCTATTCTGTTATAGCCTTTACCAGTAAATTAATACAATAAGAGATCGACGACAATGATAGCACATTAAGTTTTAAACTACAACTAAGAAAGTAAACATAAAAATTGACATTAACTTAACAGGATTACAAACTAATAAAATTGGAAAATATACTTAAAATATATATTTTAAGTATATTTTCCAATAATAATTTTTATTTTTAATATATATATATATATATTTTAAGTATATTTTCATTTTATTTTATATTCATATTTACATCTAAACATTATTCAGGATTAGTTATCTTACATTCAAATAAAATATAAGTACTATTGAAATGTGATTCAAAGAATCATTACATAGTATAAAACAAAGTCGCTGTCGCTGTCTGTCCGTCCCTATGAATGCTTAAATCTTTAAAACTATGCAACGGATATTGCAGCGGTTTTTTTTAATAGATAGACTGATTCTTGAAGGTTTATATGTATCATACATGTACACCCGGGTGAAGCCGGGGCAAGTAGCTAGTTACATAGTATAAAACAAAGTCGCTGTCGCTGTCTGTCCGTCCCTATGTATGCTTAAATCTTTAAAACTATGCAACGGATATTGAAGCGGTTTTTTTTAATAGATAGACTGATTCTTGAAGGTTTATATGTATCATACATGTACACCCGGGCGAAGCTGGGGCAAGTAGCTAGTTACATAGTATAAAACAAAGTCGCTGTCGCTGTCTGTCCGTCTGTATGCTTAAATCTTTAAAACTACGCAACGGATTTTGAACCGAATTTATTTTAATAGACTGATACAAGAGGAAGGTGTATGTATGTATATGTATGTATAACACATACACCCGGGCGAAGCCGGGCCGAGTAGCTAGTCGTTCATAAATTAGTTTCTAGAACAAATATTTACGTGTTCACTAGCGATATGTTAAATCGAGGCTGCACAGTACATATATTAATAAGTCGCTGAAGTATAGGTTATATATCAGTGTAGTGCTGAGTAGTGCATATCGTGTTCGTGTTACATACAATAATATATATTTTATTAAATCAAAGTAAGTATATACTATTTCATAAGTGTAATATATAATTAAAAAATATATATATATATGTATATATATTGTAAATATAGTTCTTAATATACACCTACTTTTTATAATGACCTAAATACTGAATTACATGAATTTAGTATTCATTTTACGATAAAAATAGATTTAATTTTCAAATTATTCTTCCATTTTTATTTAGTCATTTCCTTTTTTAATTATCTATACATATAAATAAAATTGGAGTGTCTGTTTGTAATATTCAAATAACCGTTTTTTACTACATGATGATGATGATGGAACAAACAGACATTTGTCTGTTTGTTCCGGCTAATCTCTGAAATGGTTGGACCGATTTTGACGGGACCTTTATTCGGAGGTAGCTGATGTAATAAGGAGTAACTTAGGCTACTTTTATTTTAGAAAAAATATTTTATTCAACAAAATCTTAATGTCCACGCGGACAGACAAAAATTGAAAATAATGTTAATTTGGTATATGTACCGTATTTATATTCATATGCATGTAGTAAAAAACGGTTATTTCAATATTACAAACAGACACTTCAATTTTATTTATATATATAGATTATATATATTGACAAAAATATTTACTTCACTCTTTTGGAGGGCGTTTCTCACGTTTTTTAGCCTATATTTTGACCCTTAAACCTTATTTTTTTTTATGGATGATAATAGAATGTAGCCGGCGCCTGCGTCAACGGTTTACGCTGGCGGGTCACCAGTGGGGGATGATAAGATGAGCATGAAGTCTGGTCAGTTAGCCCAACGTAACAAATTCAGCAGGAATTTATTACGATTTACTTCTTAACAACATGTACTATGATAATTTTACCTTAAATGTTATTGTCTGTGAAACCTTAACAGTACAACAGTTAAGTTTTGCCTCTGGTTTGACAATTTTTTATATGTAAAAAAGATAAATATAACATTCCTAAGAAACTAGAAACATATAGAGAACAAACTGTTATTCAAGCCTTTGTGAACATTTGTAAATCATTTCGATTGTACGTAAAAACAGAAGGAAATTTTAAAATTTATGGCAAAAAAACATTTTTGTTTCCACCACATTGTCGATTACCAAGGTTTACGCCGCCCATATCTTCATTAAAGTTTTTGATGTAGTCCGCATCTTACAGTTTTTGTTTGGCCCGATGGTTAATTCACGATGGAAGATGTACTGAAGTTAGCATTCAAAAGTAACAAATTTATTTTGGTATGTGGGGATTTCAATATAGATCTTCTTGTTGATAGTCCTATAAGTAATAAAATTAGAAACCTTTTTAAAAGTTTTGATCTGGATCATATTTTCTTTGAACCTACTAGGATTACATCCACTACGGCAACATGTATTGATAATATATATTGTAATTTTAGTATTTTAAATAAATCGATTATAAATAGATTGCCGTCAGACCATTGTGGACAAATAGTAACATTCGCATGTAATGAAAAAAACAAGATTATGTATAAGTTCTACAGACCAACAACAGCATTTAAATTACAGAATTTTAAAAACAGATTAAATGGAAGTTTACCGTTTTTGATATTTGATAATATTGATCCAAATATATCATATAATCGTTTTTTCAATATAATAAAAAATCATTTTGATAAAAATTTTACAGTAAAGAAACTTAAAGTCAATAATTCTAAGTACGCTGAATGGTCAACATTAGGTATCAATATAAGTAGGGAAAATATGTATCAATTATATGATATTAGATCATATTTGCGTGATCCTATATTCTATGAATATGTCAAAAATTATTCAAAGTTATTCAAAAAAGTATGTAAGGCCGCCAAGGCACTTTATTTAAAGAATAAAATTAAGTTTTCTAAAAATAAAATAAAAACTACCTGGAATATAATAAATACAGAAACAGGTAACATTAAGTCGCGCCAGTCAGAATATGAGTTAAAAGCAGAAAATGGCGTTATTAGTGATAATAATGAACTAGTTGCTCAAACTTTTGATAATTTCTTTTCAACAATACCTCTCAAAGCTACGGAAAATTTAAACTCGTCACCTAGTTTAGCTGAAACATTATTAAAAAATACCATAAATCCTTGCGTTCATGACTTTACTTTTCATCATATCAGTTGCTCCTGTGTGATAAAAACGTTCAACGCTCTCAATCTAAAAGGAACTGAGGATATCTGGGGTATGTCAGTTAGAGTCATGAAAACTGTAATAAGTGAAGTTGCTTCACATTTAACTGAAATATTTAATATGAGCATTGATCAAGGTATTTTTCCAGATCTAATGAAAGTGAGTAAAATAATACCGCTATTTAAATCTGGTGACAAAGACAATATATCAAATTTTAGACCTATCTCAATTTTACCAGTATTTAGTAAGATTTTTGAAAAGATACTACTTACACAAATGTTAGCTCATTTTAATACACATGATTTATTTCATAAACAGCAATTTGGATTTATGAGTGGACGGTCTACAGGCATTAACTTAATACAAAGTATTTTCGGTGCCTGGGAAGATTCACAGGATGCCATTGGTGTCTTCTGTGATCTCTCTAAAGCGTTTGATTGCGTTGACCATAGGATATTATTACGCAAACTAGAGCATTATGGAATTAGAGAAAAATCCTCAGAACTCATTGGATCATATTTGCGCGATAGAATTCAAGTGGTAGACATTAAAGGAAGCAAGTCCAAGGGGTCATTTATAAAAATGGGTGTACCCCAGGGTTCTATACTTGGCCCATTTCTTTTTCTTGTTTATATAAATGACTTACCATACCAGTTTCAAAACATACTTGACATAGTATTGTTTGCTGATGACACATCACTTATTTTCAAAGTGAAAAGAAATACAAAGGATTTTAATAATATAAATATTGCTCTTGAGGATGTTCTAAACTGGTTTACATCAAATAATCTAGCGCTTAATTCAATGAAAACAAAATGTGTTAAATTCTCTTTACCAAATGTAAAACAAGTAACGACAACTGTTAGTATGAATCATCATGTTTTGGACTTTGTTGATGAGACTTCGTTTCTTGGTATTGTAATAGATAATAAATTGCAGTGGGGTCCACATATATTCACACTAGCCAAAAGACTAAGCTCGGCTGCTTTTGCTATCAGAAAAATTAGACAGTTGACTGATACTGCAACAGCGAAACTAGTGTATTTTAGTTACTTCCATAGTATAATGTCGTATGGTATTATATTGTGGGGGAGAGCGGCTGATGTAGAATCAATTTTTATATTACAAAAAAGAGCAATTCGTTCAATATATAATTTACCGTGTCGCGAATCTCTTAGAGAACGCTTTAAAGAAACAGGTATTCTTACTGTTCCCTCTCAATATATATATGAAAATATTATGTATGTACGCAAAAACTTAAATTTATTTCCAAAAAATAGTCACTTACACGCTTTTAATACAAGGAATAAAAATAAATTAAATATGCCTAGTTATCGTCTCAAAAAAGTAAGTACATCTTTCATGGGACATTGTATACGTTTTTATAATAAATTGCCAGATAGTGTTTTAAATTTAAGTGAAGCCAAATTTAAGATACATGTAAAAAAAACACTTTGCTCTAAAGCTTATTATAAAATAAACGACTACTTAAATGACTACAATGTGTGGACTTAATTACAATTTTAACTTTTGTTATGAGGCATATAATTTTTCCCATTGACATGGATAATGTAATAACAATAAAGAAACTTATTATAAATTTTGTAATGACATATTGTAAATTAAATAATGTAAATTTAATATTGTAATGGGTGAAAACTGTGATCGGTACAGCCTATGCTGTAAATAATATAATTGACGTAGTGGAGTAACCTGAAACAGTCATGCTCGCTATAAAGTTCAAACTTGTGGCGGCGTGGTGGGCCGGGTCGATGTGCTCCCTCAAATATGGTTGAGTACAATGATGGCTGGCTCATACGTCATACTCGTGAACGGGTGCTGCTTGTGGGGACTGGTCTGTTCAGGTTGTGAACACTGATTAAATTTTTTGTTTCTTTGCGATAGCATATGCTGGTGGTCACTCTATTCTCCCAAATTTGAATTTTAATAACTGTATTTATCATAAACATGTTCCACTATTATTTGAAAAAAATTACGAGCTGAGTTTCTTGTCAGTTCTTCTCATCTCGATATCATTCCGAACTGACGGTAGATTTGACATATCATAAGAGTCTGTAATAGACCTACATGAATAAAGATATTTTGAATTTGAATTTGAATTTGATGAATATGAGCGATCTCACATTCATCGTGAATTAACAGTTTTACAATCGAGTTGCGAGTTTACGGACATCTCTTACAAAAGTAAGAGAAATTTAAATACTTTCTGTTACTACAATCTTCTCTTACTTTTATTTAACTACTTTCTGTTATTACGATCTTCTCTTACTTTTATTTAACTACTTTCTGTTACTACGATCTTCTCTTATTTTTATTTAACTACTTTCTGTTACTACGATCTTCTCTTATTTTTATTTAACTACTTTCTGTTATTACGATCTTCTCTTACTTTTATTTAACTACTTTCTGTTATTACGATCTTCTCTTACTTTTATTTAACTACTTTCTGTTATTACGATCTTCTCTTACTTTTATTAATTACTTTCTGTTACTACGATCTTCTCTTACTTTTATTTAACTACTTTCTGTTATTACGATCTTCTCTTATTTTTATTTAACTACTTTCTGTTACTTCCCTTCTTTATTTTTATTATAGTGGCTGTATTTTTATCATAGAGCAAAAACAGTTCGTTATAAATTTTATAGCGGTAAAAAACAATTAGTGATCATGAACCAAGCTTATTGTTAGGAGGATCGTCGTTGCAATACATCCCAAAGTTGATGATTTGTTGGTTAAATAGGGAAATGCAGTTTTTGTTCAGTAATCGATATATTTTGGTGAAGACGAAGACTTTCAAGTCCAACTGGATCAGGCTTGTTGTGATGAAACTTCCGAATTGAACATTTTTCTTTAAAAGGTACAATCACTTCGTCAATATTTACTCGTATCCTCTCATCTGCGAAGGATAGTATCCGAGGATATAGTGTCCGAGACCAATAATTGGCATTACTGGTCTCCGACACTATAGCCCCATCTATGAGAAGTCCTGTAATTAGTCTCATAGATGGGGTGTTAATGTCATTCTAACACCTAACAGTAGAAAGGATATGCGATCAAATAATAATAATAATAATATTAGGACAATTTACACAACCTCATCTACACCCAAGTTAAGCTAGCTAAAGTTTGTGTGGTACTAGATTACTGATACAAATACATAGATATTAATTTTCGTAAATACATACATATTTTACATAGAAAACACCAAAACCGATACAAACAATCATGAATGCAAATGTTTAAATCGTGCAAGAAATCAAACCCGCGGCCATTTTGACGGCCTAGGTGGTCTAGCGATATCGCGCTAGACCACAGGTTCTTAACGATTATCTATAACTGGTTCGTACACTGATTGTAATAAAACAATCAATGAATTTACCGCAATGCATTATGGAAAACGGCACCCAATTTTTCAATCATTGCTTTCGGTTGTATTCTTTTTAAAGGATGATAATGGAATGGTACACCCACCTGCGCTAACTGTTTACGCTGGCGGGGCACCAGTGGAGGATAATAGGATGAACATGAAGTCAGATCAGTTAGCCCATCGTGACAAATTCACCGGGAATGTATCACGATGGTTTCCAGGGGGAACCGCGTGGAGGCCGATCTGACATGATACATTGCTAGCAATAGGGTCATTAGTCCACATTACTAACTATCCCCTACCTCCCTTTTCGGTTGTATTAGTTTGATAAAGAAATCCTGAAGACCAATCAGGACTTCCTTATCCAAATAAAATAAGCGAAAACAATGACTGTCAGATTGGGTAAAGTTTTCCCCAATGGTCTAAGTGGTTCACACCCAAAAGACTGTAATTTCAAATCTGGCGAACATAATGAACTTAATGCGTCACTTCATCGATGACAAACACCAAAATAAAATCGAGATATTTTAAAACCTGAAAAACAAAAAGAAAAAGTCAATGGAACTTTTATGGGAATGGGTATAAAAATTTACAATAAAATACCAAAGAATATAGTGGAATACTTTTGAACACTTTCCAAACTTTTATGGTACGTAAGGTTTTACAATAAAATATCAGAGTCTGTTATAAATCTGCCAGAAAAAATATTTAAATGTCAAATAAAATACTTCCTTTGCAAAAAAGCTTACTATATTATTGAAGAATTCGTTAACGATAATAATGTTTTTATAGAAAAATTTTAAATCCATAGCACTGACAATATTATCTGATTACACTAATAATGAGTGCGTAGCGATATCTATATTGAATATCGCATGCCTCTTACTTGTTATACTGTAATTATTTATATAAAAGACATCTATTAAAAAGAGCAACACACAAGTTTCTTGCTCATTCTTCTTGTGATGAATCTGCATTCCGAATGAGTGGTAGAATCAAAATATGACTATTCAAAAGTGCTTGTAATGAGTTTATTTGAATAAAGATTATTTCTATTTCTATTTCAAAACATCTATTAAATCGTATTTACTGAGCAAGCCTAACCACTAAACGATTACTTGAATGACAAGCGTGCATCACAATAGTTGTTCATGCAAAGGATTTTCAATTAATGTTAGACATACCTACATAAGTACACAATGTAAATAAACTGTCTTTTAAAAAAAGAAATTTAGTTGAGTTTCTTGCCAGTTCTTGTCAATTGAATCGGTATACTGAACTGGACGATATGAAAAAAAATATAATATAAAAAATTTGACGTTCGTAAGCGGCTAAAAAGAATAAATATTTTTTTATTTGATTAACATTAGACCCGTTCCTGCTACTTTGTATGGAAAACCGTACGATAATATATGTTCAGGCAGTATGATTGCGCGGAATGCAATATTCACATGAATCAATACTGCAATAGATTGTTGCTATTGAGTAAAAACAATATAGGCATCATGACTAGGACCCTCGCTGGACACTACACATTAGAGTTGCCAGATTTTTTTTCAGCGTATAAGGGATAAACGCTTAAATAGGCAAAAAAATACGGGAATTTAGTTTTTTACCCGAGACAAATTATCAAAAGACAAATTTTCTAGCGTAGATCGATCCATTTAATAATAAAAAACGGAGCACAATTCGAATACGGGACAGAGTCATTCCCGCCGGGACATCTTAAACTAAGCCTAAAATACGGAACGTCCTGGGATATACTACACATCCTCTGTGGTTGTAGCCCACTCTATGGATAAACGAAGTATCTCCTTTGGAAAGTACACATTCTATCCTGGTGAGATAAAAACCATCTCTCCTAAATATATCCATCAATTCTTGTCCCTGACAGGTCTAGGTAACGAACTTTGAAACAGAGCGAGCACAATAGTAGTTTGCAGTGCTACTAAACGCAGTGCAGCTAAGCACCTGACTATAGCACAAATTCCTCAATAAATTAAAATCCCTGTACACGTTTTTTTAATGAATAATAATGGAACGATCTACGATAACGGTTTACGTTTTGGGGCACCACTGAAAGATGTTAAGATGAACATGAGGTCAGGTCAGGTTGTCGATCACGACAATTTCACCAGGACTTTCGGGATGTTTTCCAAAGGGTAGTTCCCTTTGGAAAACATCCCGAAAGGAGGACCGTGGAGGTCTAATTCAAATTCAAATTCAAATTCAAAAATCATTTATTCATGTAGGACATTTTAGCCGCTTATGAAGATAAAATTGTTACATTCTAATTTTAATTTTTCCCCTACCGAAGAACTGGCAAGAAACTCAATTGAATTACTTTTTTTTTTAAAGCCAGTTTATTTACAATGCATAGGTGTTTATAATATATAGGTGTCTATGTCTAACATTCAATGAAAATCCCGAACATGAAAACTATTGCCATGCACGCTCGTCATTCAAGTAATCGTTTAGTCAGTAAGTAAATAACTAAAGGGATAAATTAACGCAAGCGAAGCCGCGAGGAAAAGCTAGTTTTATTCAAATGTTCCATGTACAGACGATAAATAAATTTGTTTATAAGTAGGTAAAGAATATAATAAATATTATAATAGATAAAAATGATTACGTCCCTGCAGATTTTACCAATCATCAAAGATGGCGGAGCGTCAGCTGCAACCTCTAACGATGCTATTAGAGAAAAATAATATAAAAGTAATATTTGCTACGCAATCAGAAAGTCGAAAAAAAGCCTTGAGGGAAAAGGTAAGTAATAATAATCTATACATATAAATAAAATTGCAGAGTCTGTTTGTAATATTGAAATAACCATTTTTTACTACATGCATATGAATATAAATACGGTACATACACCAAAATAACATTTTTTACAATTTTTGTCTGTCTGTCTGTTTGTTCCGGCTAATCTCTGAAATGGCTGGATCGATTTTGACGGGACTTTTTTTGGCAGGTAGCCGATGTAATACGGAGTAACTTAGGCTACTTTTATTTCAGTTTTTTTTAAATTAAGTTAACGTCCACGCGGACGAAGGCGTGTGTACAGCTAGTCTATACATATAAATAAAATTGCAGTGTCTTGAAACTTGAATTGAAATAACCGTTTATTACTACATGCATATGAATATAAATACGGTACATACACCAAAATAACATTTTTTTTTATTTTTGTCTGTCTATCCGTTTGTTCCGGCTAATCTCTGAAATGGCTGGACAGATTTTCACGGGACTTTTCTTGGTAGGTAGCTGATGTAATAAGTAACTTAGGCTACTTTTACTTTTATCTGTTCAGGTTGCGAATACTGATTAGATTTTTTCTTTTTTGCAATAGCATATGCTGGTGGTCTCTCTATTCTCCCAAATTTGAATTTAAATGAATACGTAAAAAATATTATTTTGGTGTTTGTACCGTATTTATATTCGTATGCATGTAGTAAAAAACGGTTATTTGAATCTAACTATCAGATGGCAATAGTAAGTAGCTATGACGTGGTCTAGTGTTTTGAGTAGTCATGCTCACTAAAATATCCAGACTTGTGACGGCGTGGTGGGTCAGGTCATTGGGCTCCCTAAAATATGGTCGAGCGCAGTGATGGCTGGCTCATCCGTCATACTCGTGAACGGGTGCTGGTTGTAGGGACTGGTCTGCTCTAATCACTATGACTGATTTCTTCTTATTAATTGTTTAACCAGTCGGTTATATATTCAATATTTTTTTCTATTTGAGTATTTAATTGAATTAGTGCAATTGGTGGTTTGTATTCACACACTTAAACTTAAAGCAATAATAAAATTATTTAAAAGAGCAACACGCAAGTTTCTTGCTCGTTCTTCTTGTGATGAGACAGCTTTCCGAATGAGCGGTAGTTTAAAAAATATATTTATCTAAAATAAAAGAAATTTTCAAAACGTAGCCTAAGTTACTCTTTATTACATCACCTACCTGCCAATAAAAGTCCCGTCAAAGTCGGTCCAGCCATTTCAGAGATTAGCCGGAAGAAACAGACCGACAGATAAAAATTGTAAAAAGTGTTATTTTGGTGTATGTACCGTATTTATATTCATATGCATGTAGTAAAAAACGATTATTTCAATATTACAAACAGACACTCCAATTTTATTTATATGTATATATGTATAAATTACTTCTTCCTGTGTATTGGTAATCAGCCAAGACAAACAATTTTATAAGTATAAATTCAAATAATTAGATTATCATTAATATTATTGTTAGCGTATGTGTTACAGGGGCTGTATTTATATGCAGGTTTTGTTGTATATAAGTAGTATATTCATGTAAAAGTAAATTGCAGACATATATACTTATGTAGAAGAGTATAAAATAATTTGCAATCAGAAGTACAACAATTTATAAGAATGTCTGCAGAAGAAGCCATTTTGTAGTCAGTTTTTCCCGCGCAAAAGTTATGCGCCACAGATGCAAATATTGCACGGCGCGCAGTCGCAGTAGGATGACCAGCGCGTCATGGCAGTATGCGATGTTAATCAACGGCGGATCCAGAGGGTGAGCTGAGCCTGAGCTGGTTCCAGGACTTAGGTGGACCACTAATTGAACATAATGATTTTATTTATATATTTTGATGGTATGTAGTTACATACAGATTTTATGTAACTACATACCTTCAATATTTAATTAATTATATTTAAATAGTCCTTTCTGGATGTCTTCAAGAGAAGATGCCGATATGTACGTGTATATGTACAAGTTATTATGTGTTAAGTGTACAATAAAGAATAAATATTTTTAAGTACAGTACTTACGTATATTAATAAAATATATTATGAAAATTAAATTATAAGTTCTTGACTTGACCACGACTATGTGACCCCCTCCAGGATCCGTCCTTGATGTTAATACTATGAGTATTAACAATTGTACATAAATATACGGCCACGAACATCGCCTAAAAACTGTAGAACCTATTCGGGTGATAATTGTAACAACAATTATCACCCGAATAGGTTCTACAGTTTCACAGTCCACATCTAGTGGTAGCCCCATGGTCGAAATTCGACCATAATTTATGTAAATTATAATTTTAAGCATTATTAAGGTCCTGTTGTCAAAGACTACGCTTATAGAAGTGTAGTCTCTGATTTACATACAGAGTGTGTAATGTTTTTTTATTGATTTAATTTATTTTTATGTATCACTAAATACCACAGATAATATTATGTTATCTGTGGTATTACTGACCTGACCAGCGGAAATTTGGGAAAGGGGATTGTTAGTAATGTGGACTGCTGATCTTATTGCTAGCAATGTACCATGTCAGGTTGACCTCCACGCGGTTCCCCCTGGAAACCATCGTGATAAATTCATGGTGAATTTGTCACGATGGGCTAACTGACCTGACCTCATGCTTATCTTATCATCCTCCACTGGTGCCCCGCCAGCGTAAACCATTATCGCAGGCGGGTGCACCATTCCATTATCATCCATAAAAGACCAGCGGAAATTTGTCTGCAACATTTATCATTATATTTCGCCTATATCTTATTCTGATGTATAAGCTATACTATTGTAAATTTTCATCAAAATCGATTTACTAGTTTTTGCGTGAGGAGTAACATACATCCATTCATACTCACAAACTTTCGCGTTTATACTGTTAACTATCGTGTGACGCACCATTAATTAAAAATGGTAAAGTCAATAATCATGTAACCTGAAATGGAACGTCAGAGGCCAGAACCAAAATAATCTTTGTGACATTGACAAATAGATTGATGGATGATTAAACTGAAGCACAGGGGGTTTTGGAGCGAAAAAGTTGGAGTGTTTATATTATTATAAAAACAAATAAGAGATAGGTAATTGTGAATATTGTAGGCATTGTGGGGTTTCTCTCTCAGACCAACCGGCATCACGCCTAAGTCATCAGGATACTAGTGATGCTAATAATAGTATTGATAAGATTAAAAAACTATAGCAGCACTCTGCATTTTTTATTTTCGAATTTTTATATTTCTTGTCCACGTAATTTTCTTAAGACGGGTTCCAAAAATTTTGCTTCAAGTATTAATATTCGTAATCTATAGATCTATAGACCCTGAGAAAGGATATAGGTTAGGTACTTTTTAATGTGAAAAAGGGTTGAAGGGGGTTGAACTCCAATTTTGTCTTTATTTTTTTAACATAAAATATTTTTTTTAAATAAAAGTAGGCAAATTACTCCTTATTACATCAGCTACCTGCCAGCCATTCCAGAGATTAGCCGGAACAAACAGACAGACAGACAGACAAAAATTGGAAAAAATGTTATTTTAGTGTATGTACCGTATTTATATTCATATGCATGTAGTAAAAAACGGTTATTTCAATATTACAAATTTTTAATATTCAATTCTACTTATATGTATAGATGACGATACATCCATACAACGTTGCACCTACCTTAGGTGCATATGAATATAAATACGACACATATTTTTAAATTGTTGTCTGTCTGTCTGTTTGTTCCGGCTAATCTCTGAAAAGGCTAGGCCGATTTCGACGGAATATTTTTGGCAGGTAGTTAATGTAATAAGTAGTAACTTAGGCTACTTTTATTTTAGAAACATTATTTTATTTTAGAAAACTAAAGTACAATTCCACGCGGACGAAGTCGCGGGTACAGCTAGTAATAGATATAATAATCTAAACAGTCAATTTAAACATTAAACGATATTATATTGTTTTCTAATGCCGGAAGTTACATCTACAAATTAAACGAATACGTTTGTAATATACAAATTTAATAATAGAAACATTAGAAACGATCTAGAAAACGGTGCTACGGTTTCTGAGTCACTTCGCCTTAAAGCCTGCAACCAGATGGTAGCACTAATGTGATGACATTCTTCAGAATGGTAAAGCACGCTTCATAAAAGTAGGCATGGTATCCTAGTTCTCCGAAACTAATGTGTCCTGCCTCCTTTTATGAAACGTGCATAATTTGGGCACTATATATGGAGGAGGGCAGTGAGCACGTCCTTCTAAATGTGACTTCGCCAAATTGACTTACGTTGATAATTATTTGATGTGCTAATTCCTCGAACTGTAATAAATTAGGGAATGTGAACCTAATGGTATTGATACAATAACTTTAATAATAATTTGAACACGTCTCACGTCAAATAGTAATAACTGCATCTCTATGTTGCTTTGTTCGCTCGAATTGTCCTTGTGACGTAACATTATTTTATACTCTTTCTTCTATAACTGGAATGGGAAACTAGCTGTCGGTCCGCCTGGTGGTAACTCACCTATACCTATACCCATTAACAATACTACAGATGTATCGTCAATATCTGACACCAATGATGCAGTAGCATCATCGTGAGTTACTTAGGAGCATTGAGGTGTCATGCCAAATTAAAGGTTGACCAGGCGCAGTAAATGATACTAATGAAACTAGACTGGTCTAGTTTGATGCTACCATAATTATTTTTTTACTAATCCAGGGTCTCGGCTTTGTTGAGTACATAAATCCTGACTGTGACGAGTATACTGAAGAAACGGATCCCAAAAAATATGTGATAGAGGTCGCTCAGAAGAAGGTCCACGCTGTCTCGGAAAAGCTCAAGAAGCAGACAGGTGCAGTCAACACCATAATAATAGGCGCTGACACCGTCGTCACCATCGATACGTATGATAACGTCAAACAAATATTGACTAAACCAAAAGATAAATGCGATGCAATATCTATGCTAAAAAGGTAATATTCCATTTTGTCAAACAAACTTTGCCCTGCAGTCAATTCAAAAGAAATGGCTGCCCTAAATGTTTCGGCCCACGCTACTGCATTAATCTTGTGTAGTTTGCGAATGAACAAGTCCGAAGGGTACTTCCAAAATAAACACACAAAATAGTTCTTGTTCTTCTTCATCCTTTAGTTCTTCATAAAATAGTCTATATGCAGAGCTAGTGATATGAATATTAGACAACTCATACAAATACTTACATACATTTTGTAAATACATAGAATATACACATAGGAAACACCCAGACCAATACAAGTAAACATACTCATGAATAAAGATGTTTATACCGTGCAAGGAAACAAACCCGCGACTATCCGAACGGCAATGTGTTAAATTGCTAGACTACCGAGGCCGCAAGACAACTTTGGTTCTGTAATAATATGTTTGTACTCAATAATATTGAAATTGGTATAATCGCATATATAGAATAGTAAAACAAAAATATTGACGTGTCCACGCATCACTTGACCACATTTAATAATAACATTTACAAAATAATAGTTTAAGACACAATCTTAGCAAACATGGAAGTCAAACAAAACAGTATGACAAAATTAATGACTTGTGTAAATTTACAACTGTATCTGCACTAAGCGTAGTTGTATCACAGGGGCCAGAGTCCTCGGTAACATCCAGTAGTATGTCAAATTTACTTCATTGAAAAAAATTCTAACCATATGTGAAGGTTTGCAAAGCAACAATCTTTCTAATAGGGGGTGGGGAATTTTTGTAATGTGGACTGTTTACCCCATTGCTAACCATTGTTAGCAACTACGTTAGACTTACCTCCACGGGGTTCACCCCGGAAACCATCATGGCAATTTCTTGGTGAATTTGTCACGATGGGCTAACTGACTTGACCTCATAATCATCTTATCATCCTCCACTGGTGTCCCGCCAGCGTATACCGTTAGCGTAAGCGGCTACACAATTCCATTATAATCCTATTTCAGACTATCAGGCAAGAAAAACGTTGTCGTAACTGGATTCGTAATATTGATGCCTGACGGTAAGGAAATCCCCGACCATGTGGAAACCAGTGTGGAGTTCGGGAATCTGACTGACGAACAGGTGCACTATTATGTGGAGAGTGGTGAACCGATGTAAGTTTTTTTTGTTACAAACCCTCCTGAGGGTAATTTATAACATAAACTATACCACAGACATTATGTAATACAATGTGACGGTGGTTCCCTAAGCACTAAGTTTGTTATGATACAGTACCCTGTAATTTTAATGCCATAGAATACAACCTATTGGTTTTGCGGCAAGAAATTGCATCTCTGTGCATTTTCTACTACATATATCGCGGAGAGTGTTCTGAAGTATTGTTCAGATTAATGCCAGCTACAAAATTTCGCCAGAAACTAAAATACCATCCTGATTATCTGGATGACTGGCGGTCCTCCACCGTGCGTTTTTCCAGAAACCTTTTGCCACGCACAACCACATTGTGGATTCACCTTTCAGCAATGTTATTTCCGAAGAGAAATGTAATTGAAACCTTCAAGAAAAAGCGTATTTCTTCTTAAAAGGCCGGCAACGCACTTGCAATTCCCCTGGGTTTGTAAGTGCTCATCGGCGGTAATCTCTTAACATCAGGTGTACGGCCTACTTGCTGTATACTACCTGCGATTCCACCTCATAATGTATTTCATCGCATTATAAATTTCTCTAGCAATAAATTCAATGTTGAACTAGTATTCAAACCAGGCGGTTTTATTTACCTAACCTTTCTATTAAATCAAACATTAGACTCATAAGTGGATTATATATATCTGATATCAGATACGAATACGTTCTATTAATCAGAAATAATGGAGAAATCTGAGAATCTGATAGTTTATCAGAATATATGAAAGCTAATCTCTAATTATTTTTACTGGCACATTGCAATATGACATCATGGAATATATGGACTATATTGTATTTAATTAAAATATGGGGACGTTTATAAAATACGTTATGAAAGGGATTACATTTTTTTATATCACGTTGCACAATATACGGTCCATTAAATGGTAAACACCTATGGATGCCTGAAATACCAAGGGTATAACTTACGCGATCCCAATCCTTAAAAAAACTTAATATACCATTCTTGAAGAAACCCACACTGCAGTCTCTAGAGAAAAACTTGGCAGGTAGTTCATTCCAAAATGAAATGTGTACGCGAGAGGAAGCTCTGAAATCAGTTAGGTTCCAAAGTGTGGGGATAAATTCCCTGTCGATGGCGAGCGGTGCGATGGTAAAAGGTAGCCGTAGTACCATGTCAAACAATTCTTCAGAACACAGTTCGTTATATATTGACGACCTTGGTGGTCTAGCGGTCTAGCACACCGCTTTACGACCGATGGTCGCGGGTTCTATTCCTCGCACGGCAGAAACATTTGTATATATGAGTATGATTGTTTGTATCAGTCTGGATATTTTCTATGTATATTATGTATATATTTATAAAAAAAAATATCTATGTATTTGTATCAGTTATCTAATACCCATAACACAAGCTTTAGCTAGCTTAACTTGGGCCTAGATGGCGCTGTGTGAATTGTCCTGAGATTATTATTATTATAAACGAATATAGTTTATGGAATTTAACTGTATAATAATCTCAGGTAGAACATGTTGCGGGATAATAAGACGATGTTGTCGGTTGAGACGATGTGTATTGCAGATGATAGTGAACTTGTCGACTCTACCAGAAATAATATTTCTGGTAGAGTCGACAAGTTCATAATAATATATTTACTTTCTGTGACAGGATCTGCGCTGGAGGCTATGCAATTCAAGGTCTGGCCGGTACCTTCATAAAAGGCATCGAAGGAGACTACTTCAGCGTCCTGGGTGCGCCTGTTTATAAGATCTGTGAAAAACTGTACCAGTATCTAGCCGATCCGGAGAGTGTATACTAGTACCTACTGCTGAAAAAGTAAATTTGGGACTGAGTCTAATGTATGACTTGATTACAGTCCGAAGCATTTTTTAGTTTGGTTTTGAAATGTAAAATTAAAAAATTAAATGAAATTAAATGAAAACTGTTTATTGTTCCCCTCATAGAAAATACATTGACATAAACTAATATGTACTAATCGATAAAAACATTATTACTGTGTGCAAGACAGAGATAAGTACGGCTGGCCTTATAGCTAAATAGCGATCTCTTTTTATTTACTGACTAGCTGTACACGCGACTTTGTCCACGTGGAATTTAACTGTATATTACTAAAATAAAAGATTTTTCTAAAATAAAACTTTCCTAAGTAACTCCTTCTTTTTTTTATTGTATAGAATAGAATAGAAAATCATTTATTCAAATAAACTTAATTTAAGCACTTTTGAATAGTCATAAGAATTTATTTTTTATCTACCACTCGTTCGGAAAGCTGTCTCATCACAAGAAGAACGAGCAAGAAACTTGTGTGTTGCTCTTTTAAATAATCCTTGTAAGTTTACATTTACAAGTCGAAACGTGTGAATACAAACTACCAACAAGCACTAATTTTTTGGGTCAAATATAATCATGCAATAAGATTAAATCATCGTCGTAGTGATAAGAGCAGACCAGTCCCTACAAGCAGCACTCGTTCACGAGTATGATGAGTAGGATGAGCCAGCCATCACTGCGCTCGACCATATTTTAGGGAGCCCATTGACCCGGCCCACCACGCCGCCACATGTCTGAGCATGACTACTCATTCCACACGACCACGTCACAACTACAAAAATTACTATATGGTAGTTACAGTATTTGCACTTTACATAAGGATGCATGCGGCAATCAATACAAAAGCCGCTACGCTATCTTATATCAAGAAAGCAGTATGAAAATTAAAATTATAACGTTGTCCGCAAATAAACTTATTCTTGCTATATATTGCTATCATCTATAAATTCATCTATCTTATAATAGGCTTTTTTACATAACATTTGTTTAATATAAGATTTGAATTGCCTCTCTGTACGATTTAGCGTAGACTCTGGCAGTTTATTATAGAAACTTACGCAATTACCATAAAATGAATTACTAACTTATTACATCAGCTACCTGCCAAAAAAAGTCCCGTCATAAGCGGTCCAGCCATTTCAGAGATTATCCGAAAAAAACAAACATACAGACATAAAAATATTATTTTAGTGTATGTATAATACCGTATTTATATTCATATGCATGTAGTAAAAAACGGTTATTTCAATATTACAAACACACACTCCAATTTTAGTTATATGTATAGATAAGGTCACATATATATCGGTTATTAATATATATTATCATATATTAATATATGATACTATATATTAATAAACGATATAACCGAGTATATAAATAAAATAATATCAAAATCAGATAAGCCGTTTCGGAGAAATATAGCAGTGAAATTTCAGTGTGGCCTGACATCTTAGTTCTCCGTAATGGGCACGTATGAAGGCTCCCACGGCCTGGTCTTCATGGTGCTCGCATCATCAGGTTATCCATCTGCCCTATGAAATAAAAGTTAAGTAAAATATTGACAATACGAGAAAAAAAAAACGACACGAGACTTTTTATATATGACATATATATATATATGTGGACAAAATGGGAGTCGTGTCGTATCAAGAATTAAAGAGCATGATGGAAGATCGCGGAAAGTGGCAAGAGCTCCACCGACAAGAGCGTAGCTCTTAAATTATAAATGAATGAATGAATATGTATATGAATATCTGTTGTATAACAATAACAAAATGGAAGATTAACTGAATAAATCTTATAACAATATCAGCTAGCTCTATATGAGAATAAGAATAGAAATCAATTATTGCTGTCAGTGAAATTACATAAAAGAAAACACATTTCGAGCACTGCACACAGTGCCATCACTATAGTGTTAACTATCGTGTGAAACATTGACAAGTAGATTGATATAGGTGGAACTGACGCAGCAGTAGTTTGGAGCGAAAAGGTTAGAGTGTTTATATATTATTATAAAAACAAATAAGAGATAGGTAATTGTGAATATTGTAGGCATTGTGAGGTTTATTAGTTGGGACTGGGAGGACACCACAAGTAGTGAAGGTGAGTGTTAATGCATTCTAAAAGGGCCCTTTAAACCAACACCCGTGTCACAAGTCTCGGGCACTACTTGGGGTTCTCTCCCTGAACGATCGGTGGCCGATATCAGGGCCTAAGTCGTCATCATAGCTAGTGGTTAAAAGTAGGAACAGAGAAGTAAAGATTATTTCTATTTCTAGGGTCTGCCCCTGAAAGTATATAAAGTATACGCCAGCGTCAATTAAAGTAGTTTTACCTTTTATTTATAGTTTCATGTCTCTAACCCCTATAATAAGGGAATTATAAGGGTGACAACCCTTAACAAGAACATTTATTTTTTCTTAGTATCTATGTATGATATCCCTATGAAATTTAAACTGTACATAACTCTCCATAAGCTTCATATAATACATTGTTTTTTAGAATTTATGCGATGTTAGAAGACATGAAAAAAATTGTTTTTTTGGGAGTGCATTTTTGTAGCGACTCCCAAAATGACCCTTACCTACTTGTGTATTACATGTTAAAATTCCAAAAACGACGAATTTGTGAAATACTATATAAAAATTAAAATCCAATTATGGATATACGAATATGTATATATTTTTTTAACAAAATTAATATTACCACTTACGAACTACTTATCATAAATACTTATTTTTAAATAGTATATACCAGAGATGTTAGGGAGCTCCGTAACCGTAACCGAAACCATCGGATATCCGATATAAAAAAATATTCGTAACCGTAACCGAATCCGAAATAAAAGTTTCGGATAATATCGGATAGGTGCGGAGCCTAATAGAGACACGTTATGTAACCATTTTATTAGCTATTTGTATTTTACTTTTATAATTCCTTAAAAAATTAATATCCGTAACCGAAATTATCGGAAACTAACGGATAATCTGAAATAATTTCATATCCGCATCCGTATCCGTATTTGGTATAATAATCATTCCTATATCCGAAACCTATCCGTATCCGAAATTTCATATCCATAACATCCCAGGTATAAGTACTACCACAGATAACATAATAGGTACTACTAAGTAAAATATAAGTACTATTGAAATTGTATTCAAAGAATTGTTAAGAAATTAGTTGATATAACAAATATTTACGTATTCTCTGCCGATAAGTGATGATACCTATGTCCAGGCTGCACAGTATATGTGTACATGTATACATGTATAAGCTGAAGATTATTTGTTATATATCAGTGTAGTGCTGACTAGTGCATATCGTGTTCGCGTTACATACAAAAATATATATTTTATTAAATCAAAGTAAGTATATACTATTACGAAAGTGTAATATATAATTTAAAAAAAGAAAGAATTTAATCGTATATATAGTTCTTAATATATCTCCTTTTTATAATGATCTTAATACTGAATTCCATGAATTTCTTGTTCATTTTACAATAAAAATGGATTTAATTTTCAAATTGATGTTCTTCGATTATGATTTAGTCATTGTTTTCTCTTTTAATTATAAATATATATAACTCAAAGGTGACTGACATAGTGATCTATCAACGCACAGCCCAAACCACTGGACGGATCGGGCTGAAATTTGGCATGCAGGTAGATGTTATGATGTAGGCATCCGCTAAGAAAGGATTTTGATTAATTCTATCCCCAAGGGGATAAAGTAGGGGATGAAAGTTTGTTTGATACTTTGTCAATGTTAAACCGATCGAGCTGAGACTTTTCATGCATAAAGCTAGTTTGACGTAGGCATCCCCTAAGAAACGATTTTGATTAATTCCACCCCTAAGGGCATAAATGAACGCGAGGTTATAGGTTGTGACTAATGTATTGTCATATAACTTCCTGAGTAGCAGACATCTATTTTTAGAGCGTATTTACTAAGTACCTATGTAGTGTACTACTTGATGACGACCTCGGTGGTCTAGCGGTCTAGCACACCGCTTTACGTCCGATGGTCGCGGGTTCGATTTCTCGCACGACACAAACATTTGTATTCATGAGTATGATTGTTTGTATCGGTCTGGGTGTTTTCTATGTATAATATGTATGTATTTACAAAAAAAAACTATCTATGTATATGTATTAGCTATCTAGTACCCATAACACAAGCTTTAGCTAGCTTAACTTGGGACTAGATGGCGCTGTGTGAATTGTCCTGAGATTATTATTATTACTTGATGTTGATTTATTATCAGAAAATAGAAATGAAACTTGTACTCTGGCACATTTGGTTTTTCACTGATGTACTACATCTACATAAAAGATAAGTCACTTTTAAAAGTCAATACATATTGAAATGATTTATGAAAATGTAAATGAGAAACTGTTAGCATCAATGAACAGGTTTTAATTAGAAGAACAACTATAATTAAACATTTAAAAAAAAACCTTTATAACCAAAATTTAGAAAATTTTTACTAATTAAAACATTAGATATGGTAGGAACAACAGCAATAGCAGTCTACGCATAACTAGAACATTCTTACTATTCACTTACTTCATATTCCAGCTTTATTCTTTCGCTGTTCAGGCAATAAAATTTTGGAATGACTTAAATCTTAATATTAAGATCGCCACGAGTAATAACTTAGGCCTGAGGTCAACAAAATCTTCATATTTTGCCAAGGAAGAGGACACGCCACGACTCGTTTGTGGTTGTAGCCCACTCATACATAAACGAAATATCTCCTTTAGAAAGTACACACTTCTATCCTGAGGAGATATAAACAATCCTTCAATTCTTATCCCTGCCGAATTCTTTTTTCGTAAATACATACATATAACATATACATACGAAACTCCTACACTAAAACCACAGATAACATAATATTACATACTAATACCGACTGATTGTTTGATGATAATCGGATTATAGATATAGATAATTATATATTACTAATCATAACAATTTTCACTCTTATTCCGAGTAATAAGTAAGTACTC